TGAGAAGTTTCAAAACTAGTCAAATTGATGAGTTTTTTTGAGTTTTTTTATTTAAATAATTATTTTGTCGAGCATATCTTTAACTGTTTCCATAAGTGTGGACGTACTAAATTACAATGCCTGCATTCTATGAAAAGGACTGGAAAAGGTCAGTCATTCTCAAGAAGCATTGTGAGAAGTTTCAAAACTAGTCAAATTGATGAGTTTTTTTGAGTTTTTTTATTTAAATAATTATTTTGTCGAGCATATCTTTAACTGTTTCCATAAGTGTGGACGTACTAAATTACAATGCCTGCATTCTATGAAAAGGACTGGAAAAGGTCAGTCATTCTCAAGAAGCATTGTGAGAAGTTTCAAAACTAGTCAAATTGATGAGTTTTTTTGAGTTTTTTTATTTAAATAATTATTTTGTCGAGCATATCTTTAACTGTTTCCATAAGTGTGGACGTACTAAATTACAATGCCTGCATTCTATGAAAAGGACTGGAAAAGGTCAGTCATTCTCAAGAAGCATTGTGAGAAGTTTCAAAACTAGTCAAATTGATGAGTTTTTTTGAGTTTTTTTATTTAAATAATTATTTTGTCGAGCATATCTTTAACTGTTTCCATAAGTGTGGACGTACTAAATTACAATGCCTGCATTCTATGAAAAGGACTGGAAAAGGTCAGTCATTCTCAAGAAGCATTGTGAGAAGTTTCAAAACTAGTCAAATTGATGAGTTTTTTTGAGTTTTTTTATTTAAATAATTATTTTGTCGAGCATATCTTTAACTGTTTCCATAAGTGTGGACGTACTAAATTACAATGCCTGCATTCTATGAAAAGGACTGGAAAAGGTCAGTCATTCTCAAGAAGCATTGTGAGAAGTTTCAAAACTAGTCAAATTGATGAGTTTTTTTGAGTTTTTTTATTTAAATAATTATTTTGTCGAGCATATCTTTAACTGTTTCCATAAGTGTGGACGTACTAAATTACAATGCCTGCATTCTATGAAAAGGACTGGAAAAGGTCAGTCATTCTCAAGAAGCATTGTGAGAAGTTTCAAAACTAGTCAAATTGATGAGTTTTTTTGAGTTTTTTTATTTAAATAATTATTTTGTCGAGCATATCTTTAACTGTTTCCATAAGTGTGGACGTACTAAATTACAATGCCTGCATTCTATGAAAAGGACTGGAAAAGGTCAGTCATTCTCAAGAAGCATTGTGAGAAGTTTCAAAACTAGTCAAATTGATGAGTTTTTTTGAGTTTTTTTATTTAAATAATTATTTTGTCGAGCATATCTTTAACTGTTTCCATAAGTGTGGACGTACTAAATTACAATGCCTGCATTCTATGAAAAGGACTGGAAAAGGTCAGTCATTCTCAAGAAGCATTGTGAGAAGTTTCAAAACTAGTCAAATTGATGAGTTTTTTTGAGTTTTTTTATTTAAATAATTATTTTGTCGAGCATATCTTTAACTGTTTCCATAAGTGTGGACGTACTAAATTACAATGCCTGCATTCTATGAAAAGGACTGGAAAAGGTCAGTCATTCTCAAGAAGCATTGTGAGAAGTTTCAAAACTAGTCAAATTGATGAGTTTTTTTGAGTTTTTTTATTTAAATAATTATTTTGTCGAGCATATCTTTAACTGTTTCCATAAGTGTGGACGTACTAAATTACAATGCCTGCATTCTATGAAAAGGACTGGAAAAGGTCAGTCATTCTCAAGAAGCATTGTGAGAAGTTTCAAAACTAGTCAAATTGATGAGTTTTTTTGAGTTTTTTTATTTAAATAATTATTTTGTCGAGCATATCTTTAACTGTTTCCATAAGTGTGGACGTACTAAATTACAATGCCTGCATTCTATGAAAAGGACTGGAAAAGGTCAGTCATTCTCAAGAAGCATTGTGAGAAGTTTCAAAACTAGTCAAATTGATGAGTTTTTTTGAGTTTTTTTATTTAAATAATTATTTTGTCGAGCATATCTTTAACTGTTTCCATAAGTGTGGACGTACTAAATTACAATGCCTGCATTCTATGAAAAGGACTGGAAAAGGTCAGTCATTCTCAAGAAGCATTGTGAGAAGTTTCAAAACTAGTCAAATTGATGAGTTTTTTTGAGTTTTTTTATTTAAATAATTATTTTGTCGAGCATATCTTTAACTGTTTCCATAAGTGTGGACGTACTAAATTACAATGCCTGCATTCTATGAAAAGGACTGGAAAAGGTCAGTCATTCTCAAGAAGCATTGTGAGAAGTTTCAAAACTAGTCAAATTGATGTCATTCTTCAGGTGTACTAAAATGAACCAATCACAGTCCAGCTGTATTTTAATTGGCGTAAATCAAAGTGTTTTGGTCGTTAAAATCATTTAATCATATGCGTATGGGTGTAATATTTAAGTGTAATCGTTATATATATATATATTAGTCTTGTAAAAGTTATATCACTTTCAGCATTAGCCTCGATTCGGAGCACATTTTCCATGCCATTCGTGCTGTATGATAATAATGCTACATAACAGTGCACAGAGAACTCGTTGTCTTTTCAGTTCCGTTTTTGAGTGAATGTTTTWGTTGTTTTTCRTCAGAGCTTCCAGATTGACGTCCTCTCGACGATACTTTACCATTAGATTCACCACTACTCGATGACTTTGCGATCTTTGAGTACTCAGAGTCACCAGAATTCGTTCTTGATAGTCGAGTATGAGAAGACGAAATATTAAGCGGTTCCAAGTGAACACGGGAWGCACGACTGACTCGTGAGTTACGCATCTCTATAGCGTTTTTWCGTAAGATATCTTCAACTGACGCAAGAGGCGTGTCGGAGCCGTGTAACTCCGCGGTTTTCCTAGAAAGTTCTAGTTGAGATTCTAAGTTTTTTACTTTCTGTGAAAGTCGCTTGTTTTCTGAGCTGAKAACATCCATCTAAAAAGAACGAAAAATGAGAATATAGACTTTGAGAAGTGATTAATRTTTCAACAAAATTTAGAACGAAAGAACCAAAGCATGATAATCTTCATTTATATGCCCAAGAACACAGATGCCCAGTCCACAATGAGTAAATTCGGCTGAAAAGCTTTTTTAATTGGATAAGAAACCTTACAATTCACTATCAAAGGTCCCGATAACATGGAACCGACAGTGGGCTCTAACTATGATAGTTAAATTGCCACCAATAATAAGACAACAATGCAGGCAACCAATATGTCTCCAGTAATGTCCGATGATGTAAGCTGGGAGGTGGCCTCTATYATTTTACCAATCTTCAATGAAAAATAGCGATGGCTTATAGATAGGAGTTATCTAACAATTTCTTACCGTTTGCCGTGAGTCCTCCAATTCCTCGTCCCTGCTTTCCAGTGTTTTCTTTAATGAGAAAAGCTCTTCCAATAGTTGTTTATTTTGCTGCTTCAATTCTTCTACTCGTAGTTCTGCACGACTAACATTGCTCATACGACTAGCACGCCTGTGATGTAAACAACAACAAACTATCAGGGCTTTGATGGGCTATACATNCCCCCAACACATTAGCATCCCATACCATAGAGCATTAGCAAATGGGTAAATTTATGCCTATTTACAAGAACAAGAACATTTATTTCGTACTCACATTTTGTAGCACACTGAGATCTTCTTCTTTGCTATTGCAGACTGCATGCCTTCGATCAAGATACTCTTCATACTCGCGTATCTATTACATTCAAGATATATACTGATGACTTTAAGTAGTGACAGTACTACAGGGACAGAAGTACATAACATACATATGTACTTCTGACAGGGATTATTGACTTCCTCGCAAAAAGGTAATCTCCCTCATAAAAAGAATCATGTCACAAGATGATGGGCGTGGCAGCTGTGAGCGACACGTACTCTTTTATAAATGACACGATCTGGAAATGTTGATGATTATCATACTATCATGAGGAGAAGGTTGATGTTTATTTTGTAATTGTTTCATCTTTTGTAATTTCATGATTTTGTGTAATAGAATACTAAGCTAGACGAGTACGACGTGTAAGTGCAGAGGAGTTCATTACCTCGCGTTCCTGCTCCACTACTTGAGCTTTACGTCGAGTTAATTCCTCTTCTTTCTCACTAATAATAGCCTGCAAAACAATAGCTCACTTGATACTACATGATATAACCCACTAAAAATGTCACCATTACGATTTACATTATATTTATAGCTACAATTAAGTWAGACTATTTTCAAACAACGACTGTATCGGTAAACAATGATCACAATAATTCAACAGCATATTTCACAATGATTCACATTGTATATCAAATCATGTTTTTTACAGATCACGCYGATTAATTACCTCGTGTTCGTGGTAACGCTGCCTACGCTCTTCAAGCTTCTTCTCATTCTGAAACTCTTCAAGCTCTTCCTCAAACTTACGTCTGAAATATTGATAAACGATGGCATGAACATTGATTGATTGACAAAAGATGGTATAAACACAATGTCTACCATTCTAAATCTTGACAATGTACCAAATATACCCGGGGGGGGGATCTCCGGGGTAAAAGTACCGGGGGTGCTCGTCGGATCTCTTAGGGGTAAAAATTCGAGATTTGGAATCTTTTTGGGTACTTTAATATTTGGAGTTTCTGGAAATTTGCATTTTCTGAAATCTCTTAGGGTGTCCGAAAAAAAGAGAAAGAGCGCATCGATATTGATTTTCCTCTGCGTTTTGTTTTGTCATTAAATATTTTATGCATTTATATCATTGGAACTGATTTAATTTAACATCATTTGTTAAGCAACCCCTTAGGTTTTAAAAATCAGTCAGTCAAGCCCTTTTTCAAGACTTACGAGATCAGTTTATDAACTCCTGTCAGGAGTTCCACTCACAGGTCTGACTTTTGCAGTTGAGCAAGTCATAATTCACAATGAGCAAGTTATAAAAGTTTTTAGGCCTGAACATACTTTTGTTCTTGGCGATGTCTGGTAATTTCCTCTATTTCTGTATTGTATTGTTTTCTTCTTAGTTCCAGTTCATTTTGAAGACGATTCATCTGTAAACAAAAA